CCTGCCTGGTGATGTTTTCACCTAAAATGCCATCTCAGAGATCTTCCCAAATGTGTATTGCAAATATGCTCCCTACTTTTAATGTCTGCACAGTCTTTGTTAGAAGAGAATATGCCTTCTAGCTCGGCACCCATACCACAGCGGTTACAGTGCCAGCCACATACACGGAGGCTGCCAGGTTCAAACCCGGCCCGGGGCCAGCTAAACAACAATGACAACTACAACAAAAAATAGCCAGGCATTGTGGTGGGTGCCTGTAGTTCAGCTACTTGGGAGGCTGAGGCAAGAGAATCGCTTAAGCCCAAGAGTCTGAGGTTGCTGTGAGCTGTGACGCCACAGCACTCTACCAAAGGGTGACATAGTGAGACTCTGTCTCAAAAAAAAAAAAGAAGAAGAGACTATGCCTTCTGAGTGAAAGGTCCTCAATTAATGTCTCTCCTGGCCCCTTTCTGTTCGTTTATTTCCTCTGTCTCCTCTCAAGTGCAAAGTGACTTATCTGATAACAAGTTTTGGAAAATAAGCTAGACATGCTAGGTTCAATCCTGACCTTTTCTTCTTGGGATCAAGTTGCCTAGAGGGAGTGGGCCTTCTGCACCCCCAGAATTGGGCACGACTAGGGAGTATCTGCAGAATTTAGGGTTTCAGAGATAAGAAGGCTATTTTTCTCTCACTTAATATGAGATAGCTCATACCACAGCATCCAACTTAGCCTTTATTAGAGAGATTTTGGCCTTCATCTCTAATTCCTTTGTCTGATTTCTCAGTTTGTTCAGAATCAGAGCAGGGAAGGAGGCTGCTATTTATTGAGACTTTTCAGGAATGACAAATGATGTCATTCCATATTTGGATGTATCTAAATTTATTTAATCAATTTCCTAATTATGGATGTTTAAGTGGTATCTCATTTGTTACTCAAATGCTTCGATGAGTATCTTTATACATATATCTCGCATACTTTTTACAAGTCCATCAAAAAGTACATTACTTACAATATAATTATTAGATCAAAGATATGTATCTTTGTATTCCAAATAAAGATCAGAGAAAAATTACCCCAATCTTAGTGGAAGTTGGGAACAGGGTGCCTAGATAATACACTGATAATTATAATGATAGTGGCTAAATGCTGTGGTGCCCACCTGTAATCCTGGCACTCTAGAAAGTCAAGGTGGGAGGATTGCTGGAGCTCAGGAGTTGGAGACCTGCCTGAGCCAAAAATGAGACCCTGTCTCTACTAAAAAAAACATAGAAAAACTTAACCAGGCATCTGGTGTGTGCCTGTAGTGAGGAGACAGGAGGATCAAGGCAGGAGGATCACTTGAGCCCAGAAGTTTGAGGATGCAGTGAACTATGATGGCACCACTTCACTCTATCCAGGGCAACAGAGAGAGACCGTCTCAAAAAAAAAAAAAAATTATAATGGCAGTAATTGGCATTTATTTATTTCTTGCTGTGTGCCAGGTTCTGTGGCACTTCATATACAAATATTTTTAATCCTCATAACTTACGATGTAGTGACTATTATTATCTCTATTTTTTACAGTTGGGGATGCTGAGATAAAAAAAAATTTTTTTTGAGATCAAAATTATTAAATAACTAGCCCAGGGGTGGGCACCATGGCTCACACCTTAATCATAGCACTCTGGGAGGTCGAGGCAGGTGATTGCTTGAACTCAGTAGTTCAAGACCAGCCTAAGCAAGAACAAGACACTGTCTCTAAAAATAGCTGGGCATTATGGTGGTTGCCTATAGTCCCAGCGACCAGGGAAGCTGAGAGAAGAGAATCACTTTAGCCCCGGAGTTTAGGGTTGCTATGAGCTATGACACCATGGCACTCTACCTGGGCAAGAGACTCTGCTTCAAAAAAATAAATAATAATAATAACTAGCCTGATGCAAGATCGCATAGCTGATAACTAGTAGAAATGGAATTCAAGTACATGTTTGTATAATTCCAGAGCCCGTACCTTTTTTTGTTTTTTTATTTTGAGACAGCGTCTTGCTCTGTCACCAAGTCTAGAATACAGTGGCATCATCATAACTCACAGCAACTTCAAACTCCAAGGCTCAATTGGTCCTCCTACCTCAGCCTCCTGAGTGGCTGGGACTATAGGCAATGGGTGCATGCCAACACACCCAGCTTATTTTACTATTTTTGTAAAGAGGGAAGTCGCAAGGTTGCTCAGGCTGGTCTCAAGCCTCCTGGCCTCAAGTAATCCTCTCACCTCAGCCTTCCAGAGTGCTAGGATTGTAGGTGTGAGCCACTTCTAACTATCAGACTAAAGGGTGTTCCCCATCATATAAGATGGGTGGTAGACTGATTTGCAGTCAAATTGTATGGGTTCAAATCCAAGCTTTCCATCTTAGAAGTTATGTGATGAGTTCCTCAATTTCCTTAGCTACAAAACGAAGATTTTTTTTTTTTGAGGCAGAGTCTGTTTGTTGCCCTCAGTAGAGTGCTGTGGTGTCATAGCTCACAACAACCTCAAACTCTTGGGCTCAAGTGATTCTCTTACCTCAACCTCCCAAGTAGCTGAGACTACAGGCGCCAGCCATAATGCCTGGCTATTTTTAGAGACGGGGTCTTGCTCTTGCTCAGGCTGGTGGTAAACTCTTGAGTTCAAGCAATGCACCCACCTCAGCCTCCCAGAGGGCTAGGATTATGAGCATGAGCCCATTCAGGACCAAGCCCAGCCCTCATTCCCTTTCCCTTAATAATATATCTTGGGGATTATAACACAGCAGCATATATAAATATACTTCATTTTAAGAGTGGCTACATAGTGTTTTATAGTACAACCATACTGTAATCTATTTAGATTTGCCCTAATTGGGGTTGTTTCTAGTATTCATGCCCTTTCTCATCTGAGAATGTAGAGTTCTAAAGTCAATAGGTAGTCATCAGCATATTTCATTTTATTTATTTAACAAACACATATATTATTTACTACATGTCAGCCAATGTTCTAATCTTTATTCGTTTAATAATTATATTGAAACCATTAAATCGAGGCTATTTAATACCTATATTACAGATGGGCTGAGGCACAGAGCAGCAACTTCCCCACAATCATGTGGCTAGGAAGGGAAGGGCTGGGGTTCCAACCCAGGTGGTCTGACTCCTGAGTCCATGTTCTTAATCATCACACTCTGAACCTCTCTTCTCTGTTCTAAAATCTGTGGCCTGCATGTCATTAAAACCTTGAGCCAGGCTCAGCAGCTGGTGCTCCAGCCACATACACTTGAGCTGGTGGGTCCAGCGCGGCCCGCCAAGCAACAATGACGGCTGCAACCAAAAAATGGCTGGGCATTGTGGCGGGAGCCTGTGGTCCCAGCTGCTTGGGAGGCGGAGCCAGGAGAATGGCGTGAGCCCATGAGTTGGAGGTTGCTGTGAGCTGTGATGCTACAGCACTCTACCCAGGGTGACAACTTGAGGCTCTGTCTCAAAAAAAAAGAAAAGAAAAAGAAAAAAACTTGAGCCATTGGCGGTGCCTGTAGTTCAGTGGGTAGGGCACCAGCCACATATACAAGGCTGGTGGGTTTGAACCTGGCCTGAGCCAGCTTAAGAAAAAACAACAATGACAACTGCAACAACAACAACAAAATAGCCAGGCGCTGTGGTGGGCATCTGTAGTCCAAGGTACTTGGGAGGCTAAGGCAAGAAAATTGCTTAAGCCCAAGAGTTTGAGGTTGCTGTGAGCTGTGACGCCACAGCACTCTACCCAGGGTGATATAGTGAGACTCTGTGGTGGTGGGGGGCATGAGCCACATCGTGTCACATTTTATGCTCATGTTACTGATGAGTATTCAGCACTTTGGGGATATTCTTAGGAATATACAAGGGCAACATGATTGCTAAATCAACTTGACCCCTTAAACTACCAAGAGCAAGCCTAAAGTCTATTCCTGAGACTAGCCAGCCAGCACCAAAAAAGCTCACCAGTGATGATCCCAGCCCTTCCTTTCAGAGACCCTGGGTCTGGGCTCTAACTCTGCATCTCTGTGCCATGCTGGCCCATTGAGCAAACTCAGTACAGCAGACAGCCTTAAAATAAACAAACATGTTTGCATTGTGATCAGTTATGGGACAGCGTATATATAGTTAGTTAGTACAAAACTCATGCAAATAATCTTTCCTTTTTCCAATTCCTGCTGTGTATGAGTCTTTCACAATCAAGTTGGCCAACTCAAATTCCTAAAATACTGAAGTTCAGAAGATCTGGTCAAAAGTTTGCTAGTAAAATATGAAACTCCCCATTCTCTTTCCTTTACTACTGCCCCCATTCCTACCCTCAGGCTACTTTAGCTTGTAGACAAGTGTATGAAATGCCCTTTTCTTTGAAGATATGGTAAGAGATTCCTTTTGGAGTATGTCCAGACAAGTTGGCAGATGCTCCCTTAGCATTAGCCACAGGGAAGCATATTTTTTTAAAAAATCAGATGGACAAGAAAAAAAATTAAGGGAGACTATGAGACTATTCTCTTTAGAAATCAGACTATCTTTCCAAATGGAAGACTTTATGAAACTCAATGGGTTTTTAAATATTGTTTTTTTGGGGGTGGCACCTGTGGCTCAAAGGAGTAGGGCACTGGCCCCATATGCCAGTGGTGGATTCAAACCCAGCCCCAGTCAAAAATTGCAAAAAAAAAAAAAAAGAAAAAGAAATTTGGTTTTTTTTGCTTTGTTAATGGAAAAAAATATGTATATACCTATAATTTAATATTCTGGAAAGTTCTTATGTCAATGATAAGAGTAAATATTTTAATTTCAAACATGATTTCTCATAACATACTAAAATCTGCATTTTTCTTTTATAAATAAACTTCTATCTCTGCTTATATCCTTATAAAAAATAAGTACTGCTGGATGTGGTGGTCTATCCCTGTAATCCCAACACATTGAGAAGCTAAGGCAGGAGGATTGCTTGAGGCCAGGAGTCTGAGATCAGCCTGGACAATGTAACAGCTGTCTCTATGAAAAATTAAAAAATTGATGTGTCACTTCCTCTCGAGTTTAGCTTTGGGTCTGCGGGGACCCACGCGAGTTCAACATGCATATCGAGAAGTGTTATTTCTGTTCGGGGCCAATCTACCCTGGCCACGGCATGATGTTCATCCGCAACGACTGCAAGGTGTTCAGATTTTGTAAATCCAAATGTCATAAAAACTTTAAAAAGAAGCGCAATCCTCGCAAGGTCAGGTGGACTAAAGCATTCCGGAAAGCAGCTGGTAAACAGCTTACAGTGGATAATTCATTTGAGTTTGAGAAACGTAGAAACGAACCTGTCAAATACCAGAGAGAACTATGGAATAAAACTATTGATGCAATGAAGAGAGTTGAAGAGATCAAACAGAAACGCCAAGCTAAATTTATAATGAACAGACTGAAGAAAAATAAAGAGCTACAGAAAATCCAGGACATCAAGGAAGTCAAGCAAAACATCCATCTTATCCGAGCCCCTCTTGCAGGCAAAGCAAAGAAGTTGGAAGAGAAATGGTACAGCAATTACAAGAGGATGTGGACATGGACGATGTTTCCTAAAAATCTTACTGTCTGTAACCATTTCTATGTGTACATTTGAAAATGTTTTTTAGAGACAGAGCTTATAAGTTATTGATTTATTTTTTATAAGGTCACTCACAGGGGATTATAAATATATCACCTACATTGCAGTCTGCAAAAAATTACATAGTATGGATATTTGATTGCATCTCAGTGTTAAACCTCACTATAGATGTGCTTATGTAAATTATGAAAGTTTTGTTTGTAAAGACAGAAGTGAATTGTGGGCATACAATGGTCATGCCATTTGGATTAACGGCCCTGGACAGGTCATATTATATAATAACTAAGGACAAAAGTTCTGACCAGTTATATGTGAAACTAAAATTTTCTTTACAGTAAAATAATCTCTTTATTAATGTTTTGTAGACGGGAGATACAGCAAGGAACTAACGATTTGTGACTATTAGTTTCCAATAACATCTTTTATTTTGATCAGTCTTTCCTGTTTTTAGCATCTTTCAAGACCATAATGGCCTTATATCATAAAGCCTAGACTGAACTATTTTGGCTGGGTTTAACTGGTCTTTTTTTTTTTTT